CCCTTTGGTTTTGCGCACTCAGAATGTAGGTCATTCTGAAGTTGAACCGGGTAAAGAACAGAGACCACCAGATCTGGCACTGGTTCAACTTGCACGCCGTTGTCAGGAACTCTAGATACCTATGGTCCGTCCGGACCTCGACTTGATGCCTGGTTCCCTCCAGGTGATGCTTCCAGGCCTCAAACGCCATCTTAATGGCCAATAACTCCTTCTCCCAGATGGTGTAATTGTGCTTGGAAGGATTGAGTTTCCGCGAAAAGAAAGTGCAATGGAAAAGGATACCGCCAGGGGCATAAGCCTGCAGTAACACCGCGCCCACCACGATGTCAGACATGTCTGCCTCCACTACAAATGGACGATGGGGATCAGGGTGCTTCAGGATCGGCTCCTTTGTGAAGGCATACTTCAGGGCCTCGAACACGTGTTGTTCCATGGGCCCACAGCGAAACGGCACTTTCTTCGGCAGGAGCCGAGTGAGGAGCGCGGTCAGGAAAGGAAAGCTGGAATGAAGGTCTGGTAGTAGTTGGCAAACCCGAGGAGTCTCTGGACATCCTTCACATGGTGAAGAGGTTGCCAACTGCGCAATGCCTCTACCTTGCCCGGCTCCATCGCAATTCCTTCAGGGGAGATATGGTGCCCCAGGAACTCGATGGTAGTCTTCCAGAACTGACACTTCTCCAGCTTTGCAAATAAACGATGCTCCCAGAGTCGTTGCAGGACCAAGCATAGGTGTTGCTGATGATCCTTCTGAGATGTCGAGTAGATCAAGATGTCGTCCAGGTAAATGATGACAAACTGATCCAAGCGGTCCCAGAAGATATCGTTCATGAAGTGCTGGAAGACTGCCGGGGCATTGGTCAAACCAAATCGCATGACTGTGTACTCAAAATGCCCATACCGGGTGCCAAAGGTGGTCTTCCATTCGTCCCCCACCCGGATTCGGACCAGGTTATAAGCGCCATGCAAGTCCAGTTTCGTGAACACCGTCACCTCCCGGAGCTGCTTCAACAACTTAGGAATCAGGGGCAGCAGGTTACAATTGTGCACCGTGATGGCATTCAGGTGATGATAATCACAACAGAGTCTCAGATCCCCGGTCTTCTTTTTGACGAACAAGACCGGGGTAGACAGTGGTGAAGATGAGGGCCGGATAAAACCCTGGGTGTGGTTCCCGGCCAGAAAGTCCCGCAATGCAGCCAACTTCGGCTTGGACATGGAGTATAGGCAACCCAGAGCTTTGCGTCTGGTACCAAGTCAATGGGGCAGTCATAAGGCCAGTGCAGCAGCATTTGGTCCGCCTCCTGCTTGCTGAAGATGTCCGCGAACTCCGCTAAGTCCAGCAGCACGGACACCCTGGGCGAGCTGAGCACCTGACCTGCGCAGATGTGATGGGTGTGGTCGACATATTGCAGGGACTGGAATGTGACCAGGTTCTGAGACCAATAAATCTGAGGGTCATGCGCCTGCAGCCAAGCCAAACCGAGGACCACAAGGAAATGCAGGCCCAAAGCAATATAAAATTGGATGGTCTCTTCCTGCTTCCCGAGGACCAGGCACAAGGACTGCATGGCGGCCTTGATAGGCCCAGACAGAAGCACCCAGCCATCAATGGTCTTGACCCGCATTGGTGGGTCCACCGGACAAAGAGGGACGGCGTACTTAGTAGCAAACATCACGTCCATAAAGTTCGTGGTAGCCCCAGAATTGACCAAGGCATGGGCCGGAATTCCCTGCAGACTACCAGACAGGAGGATGCGTGCTGCCAAGATCATGTGCTGGGGAGGGCTGTCAATCTCTGTTTCGGCATGCGCCCAACCTAAAGTCTCCCTCAGATCTGGCTCCACCCGTTTCCCAACATGTTGTTCCATTGCTGAGGGGAGGCCGCAGACCTTGCAGCCCCCTACTCTTTTGGGGGCAAACCGTGGCCAGGTGTTCAGGATCCTCGCAATAGAAACACAAACCCCCTGTGTGCCATCTGGCCATCTCAGATCGTGACAAGTGGGGTTTGGCGGCGCCCAACTCCATGGGCTCCTCCTGTGAAGCTAGGGTCTCATGAGGGATCGGCACCCTACTGGTCTCCTGAGGTGCGCAGCGAGGCCCCCGCCTCTGCAGCCAGGCGTCTATCTGGAGGCACAGGTGGATCAACGTGTTGAATGTCAGTGGCCTGTCCACCCACACCAACTCATCTTGCAGGTCATCCGACAGCCCGTCTTGAAAGGTGTCTATGAGGGCTGCCTCATTCCAGGCTGAATTTTGGCTAAGAAGCCGGAATTCGCTGACATAATCCTGCAAGGTGCCTGAGAGCAAGCTGATAATGAATCCCACCTTAGCCCGGTCGGTGAGAAAGTCCTTCGCTCTCAGGCTGATAAACGTCCCCTGTAGGAAAACCAGTTCAGGAGTGTGGCAGGCATGAGTTGCTGCCAGTTCCAGCGACCCAGGCCGCCAAGTTACTACCAGTTCGGCTGAACCGGTCTGAACCGGTAGGAACCCACCTTTGCCACCATCATGCCACAACCGCTGAAGCTTCTTGGGTGAGAAGCAAAATGTCTTCCTCAAGGAAGAAACAATCCAGTTGCTTTTTGAAAGAGCACCTTTGAGGTAGAAGAAATTAATAAATTAATGAGTGTTGAACTTAATTTCCTAGATGTTGAACTACGTAGCATTCCTCCAGAATCCCTTTCTGGATATGTCCTGAGTGAAAAGACCACAGCCACTGGAGAACAGTTCCTCAGGGATGTATCTGTGATTTTTCACCCACATGCTTTTCCCCAGATGCCTGTCCTCACATGGAGTCCTGAAGGAGTTCACCATCCCCCAGAGAAGAGGATACTTCTCACTGTAATTTTAACCATCCTGATCTTTGAGACCTGTTCTGCTACTTCTTCAGTGACTTCCTTTGATGTAAACAGGCTGAAGCCACATGAAAGAGAGCTTGCATCAGAAAAGGATATAGGCGTCAGGTGGCACAACCTGTGTGGCAAAAGTTTTGGGACAGGCAAGGCTGGGCTCTTGAATGCATGTTTCTTTCCTTTCCAGGTGAAGCTTGGTCTGCCTTTTTCTGAATCAGGAAAGCCACTGGCATTTACATCTTGTGAGATTGCTTTGAATACTAATTCTTCTTGTTGCTCTTGTTTAGAGATGGGAATGGGGTTGTTTCAGCCCTATGGATGATGGACCTCCTGCTTCTGTTCCTGATGCTGCTGGTGTCTCAGCCAGTCTCTGGGAAGCTGAGGATGAAATGCCCGCTGAGTTTCGAACACCAGGAGGAAAAAAACCCATGGAGCTGTTATAGACCAGGAGATTATCTTATTGGCGTGGTGACCACTGCAACAAAAGAATTGCGTATAACGTTGCCTTTTAACACGGCTCCTTATATTCAATTTGATTCGTAAGTCATTCAGTCTGATTCAGTAGCATTCCCTTCATTTGCAGTTCTAACACTCTCCCACTGCCTTCTTCATATTTTGCTTACTGGTATATTGCAAGACATTTCTAATTTCCTGAATTGTTTTGATTTTCGTGGCTTCCATTTGTGTCTTCTTGTACATGAGAGACTCACAGATGGTGCAGAAAAATTCCCGAAAGAAGTCCAAATTATTTTCCTCTCCACATCCAGTCCTTCATTCACCACTTGAATATAGGCTTTTGTTTGAAGTAGTTATAGTTGCCTCTTCTCAGCCCATTTCCATATTTTTTACAACTGCTTATTGATATTCAATGTCTGATCCTTATAGAAATAAAGGTTGACTTGATGTTAGAATGTCTTTGCTTATGAAACATTTGCTTGATTTTATGATGGCTATCCTTTTAATGATTGAATCATATTACATGCTGGTTATTGGACAAATAGAAATTAAGCCTGCTATAAGTAACAACTGTTTGTATTTTTTAATCTTAATTCTGGTGGTCCTCTATCAACAGCCCATCTTCTCAACCCTCCTAAAAATTAAATGGTAATAAGATATATTTCTGGTTTTGGATCTGTATTGACTTAAAACTCAATAAGCTTGTGGAGACAAAGAGGAATGAATAAATAAAAATGGTTTTTGCTAATGATGATAACAACATGAATTCTTTTTTTTTTTTACAGTACATCTTCTGATCACTCTAGAATTCTACGCTTCATTTTCACAACTGAACTTGTCAACAAGAATGCCCAGCTCCTACAAAACCTCACACTGGGCTACAACATCCATGACAACTATTTGAACCCACTTGGCACTTCAGATGCCTTGCTGGACGTGCTTTCTACTGGAGATGCCAATGTTCCCAACTATGGCTGTGGAAAGAATGACCACCTTTTGGCTCTTCTCGATGGAGCTGACAGGGACATCTCCATCCAGATGTCAACATTAATAGGCACCTACAAAATTCCACAGGTTGGTGTGTATGTGTGTTTCATTATCTGATAAAGTGTGTAAAGTGGTGGTGGATGAACAATAGAGCTAATCAACCTTCCCTATGGAATTCAAGAGCTGCATTTCCACCATGGTCATTGTAGATGTCATAGCTAGGAATAGGGACCTAAAGTGGGGATGAGGCAAGGATCAAAGGAATCCTCTCCTCTCATGGCACCATCTCTGTGTGTATCCCTGAAATATCACACAGAATTCTTCATTGCTTTTTCAGATCAGTTATGCAACTGCTTCAGAGGCCCTAAGTGATAAAAGTCAGTTTCCCTTTTTCTATTGGATGCTCCCAAAAGTAGGGATTCTCTTCCCAGCAATTGTCCAACTGCTCCTCCATTTCAGATGGACCTTGATTGGTCTCTTTGCTTCAGACACAGAGAATGGAGATAATTTCATGAGGACATTTACTCCTGTTCTTGTCAGGAATGGAATTTGTGTAGTCATATCACAAAAAGTCTCAACGACTGAACCTACAACATCTCTCAAGGATGCCATCTCCAAATGGAGACAAGTCAATGTCTTTGTGCACTTTTTAGAATACGTTTCCCTTTGGGATAGACTTCTTCCTTTCCATTTAACACTTCAAGATTTGCCAGAACCTGTCAAAGGGCAAGTCTGGATAATCACACCTATTGGGGAATTGTTGGTGAGAAGGCACACATATCTCAAATACATCCATAGTATTTTGTCCTATGCTTTTCAGTGGAATGAAAAGACAAATGATGATTCCTTTGAACCAGATCTTTTTGTGGAACCACAGTTTGGAGAACAGTCTTTTAGCTGTTCTTTTTCAAAGCATGTCTTTTCTGTCAAAGGCCGGAGAAGGTGCATGCAGAAAGCACCTCTGGAGACCAAAGAGGAAAGGAACAGCATCTGGGTCCGATATACTCGCCATGTTTACAGTTTTGTTAATACTCTGGCCCACACCTTGAATGCTGCATATTCCTCCATTTCCAGGAGAGGAAGGAAAGAAGAGAGGTTGAGGGCTTCAAGGTTGCAGCCATGGCAGGTATGGTGTTCCAACAGGGGTCCATCAAACTTTGTTCATTTTGAGTAAGAGATAAAAGAGAAGAAGGGAAACCATCTCAACTTCCTTGTGTTACAAAAAGCCAACACTTTTGGCCATGATGTGGAGACTCTAGAAAGTGCAGAGAAGAACAACAAAGATGATTAGGGGACTGTAGGCCAAAACATATGAAGAACAGTTGCAGGAACTGGGTATGTCTAGTTTAATGAAGAGAAGGACTAGGGGTGACATGATAAGTATAAGTATAATCTTTATTGTCATTGTACTTAAATGCAACAGAATTGGTTTTAACCTCACTGGAGCAAAATTATAACAGAAATGAAAAAAGAAATAACAAGAAATATGCATGGAGTGATTGTGGTTGTATTTAAAAGTCTCACAGCCCAAGGATAGAAACTATCTTTAAACCTGTTTGTTTGGCTGGCTATACTTTGATGTCTTCTGCCTGATGGTAGAAGTGCGAAGAGACACTGACCAGGGTGTGAATTATCTCTGAGTATCTTCCTTACACTGCTAAAGCAGTGAGACCTGGCGATGTCATCCAGCGGTGTCAGAGGGCAACCAATGGTTTCTTGTGCCGAATTGATCACTCTCTGTAGGGCCTTCCTGTCCACAGCTGTTAAACCAGCATACCATACCGTAATACAATATGTATTACACTTTCTATGGTGGAGCGATAGAAAGAGGTCATCAGCCATTGTTCCTCCTGATTTTTTTGCAGGACTCTAAGGAAATGAAGTCTATGTTGGGCCTTTCCAATCACCAGAGATGTGTTGTTTTTCCAGGTGAGATCTTGACTAATAAACACTCCCAAGAATTTAAAATAGGAAACCCTCTCCACACAGCCCCCCTCAATATACAGTGGGACAGGTTCCACTCTGTGCTTCTGGAAATCTAGCACCATCTCCTTTGTCTTACTAGTATTTAGATATAAATTGTTTCTTGAGCACCATGTGAAAACTTTCTGGACTTCTTCCCTGTATGCTGATTCATCCCCTCCAGTTATGAGACCCAGCACTGTTGTGTCATTTGCACACTTTATTATGATGTTGGATGGATCAGAGGATATACAGTCATCTGTATACAGGTATGGGCTGAGCACACAGCCCCGAGGGGAGCCTCTGCTGAGCTTCAGCGTGGAAGATGTAAAGGACCCAACCCTTACTGTTTGTGGATGATCTGTCAGGAAGTCCTTGATCCATTCACAAGTGAGGGGAGGGAAATTCAGGTCAGTCAACTTTTCAATGAGAATTCCTGGTAAGATGGTGTTAAAGGCTGAGCTATAGTCTTTCCTATTTAATTCCCAGATTTCTCAAGGTGGTTTAGTGCAATATGTAGAGCAGTAGTGATGGTGTTCCCTGTTGACCTGTTGCTTCTATAAGCAAACTGGTGTTGATCAAAATTTGGTGGAAGACAGGACCTGAGGTGTGCTCTCAAAGCATTTCATCACTATAGATGTTGGTGCAATGGGTCTGTAGTCATTCAAGCTTTTTATTGCTGCTTTCTTCGGAACTGGGATAATTGTGGCTGCTTTCAAGCCTGATGGGACTCTAGCCTGTTGTAGGAAGAGGTTAAAAATCCTTGTCAGCCCCCCTGTTAATTGGTCAGCACAGGTTTTTACCAGTTTTTCCAACACCCTGTCTGGACCTGCAGCTTTGTTGGGATTTACAGCCTTCAGCTCAGCTCTCACTTGATGTTCATCTGAGGCAGGAGAGAAAGATAGTATAAAAGAAAGAGATACAATATTTTAAGAAACATATAAAATAGAGGTCAAGTGGCTGAGCTAATGGAAATGTACTTCTTAAAAGGAGAACTTGCTTAAAATGTTGCTTGCAGAAGGAAGAACTTGTTTAATGTAACCTATAGTTGAATGACCTATGTAATAACCTATGTACTAAAATAATTCCTGTAGCTTGTGCAAGGGAGGTGGACCCAAAGTAACAGATGGTGTAAGATAAGACCCACCCATGTAACCCACCCACACATAGAAGTATAACAAATTCATCATTTATTGAATTTCCTCTTTTTAGTTACATTTCTCCTTTCTTGTGTTTTGAACTGATAAAGAAGGTGGCATAGCCTAATGCCTGGGCAGTGCCGGCTTTGCGAAATATATAAAAGTAACACCCTGGGCGTAACCCAGGGTTCAGAATTTGTCATGCTCTGAACCATTGCACAAATAAATCTGAGTTCTCCAAGCCTTCGTGGTCTTGTGTCCTGAATTGGTGACAGGATTAGGTGCAACACATCCAGGGTGAGTGGCTGGAGGTCAGAGGGCCTTTGGGCTAGAGCCACAGAGACTGATCTTTTGACCTCAAAGCTATTTAGCTCCTCTACTAGCAGGGCATTAGCATTGGCTATTTTTTCATATTGCCCTTATAGTTGGTTAGGTGTTGTAGCCCCTGCCACACCTGTCTTGAGTTATTATCTTCCAGATGCTTCTCTATCTTTTGTTTGTATTTCTGTTTAGCCGCCTTAATGCCTCTTCTCTAGTTTGCCCTGGCTTCATTGTATTTTTCTTTGTTTCCTGCCTTGAAGGTGGAGTTTTGGGCTCTCAGAAATAATTGTACCTCTGCTGACATCCAGAGTTTACGATTACTGTAAATTCTGATGTGCTTATTCACTGTTACATTGTCTGTGCATGTTTTAATGTATGAGAGTACAGTGTCAGTGAATTCTTGCAGCTCCAAATGTTCAAATATACTCCACTCGGTAGTCTCAAAGCAGTCCTGCAACTGGCAGAGTGCTCCCTCCAGCCAAATTTTGACAGTTTTTAAGACTGTTCGTATCCTTTTCCTAAGAGGGGATATACTTTGGGCACAGTAGCAGAGAGATGTGGTCAGACATACCCAGATGGGAGAGGGGGGATTGCTCTATATGCCTG